ACTATCGAGGTGTGTCTGCTCATCCACCCTCGTAGTAGTGCTAGCAGGTCTGCGAGTTTATGGGTGGACTCTGAGACGTTGGAGAATCGGGTGTTCATGATGAGGGATATGTTCGACACGTGGTGTGAGGAGGGCCAACGCTATATAGATGAGCACGTCTTGTTCCCTATGCTGTCATTCATGTTGTTATGTCTCCAGGCTCCAGGATAAGGATGACCCTTTCTGGGATCCTGTCTGTTTGGAGAGGGAGGTAGGCATAGCACGGATCTTCCTGGAGTCTCTTACGATGCAGTTAGAGAACGAGCTGGATGCCAAGGTAGGGTGACGTGAGCTCTTTATGAGCAGTACTGGGGTAGGTGATGTCGTCATCAACAGGATGCCCGGTGGGGACACTCAAGTGCGCTGTTTGGCCTCTGTCGAAAGATGGTAGTAGTACTACTGTACCCGATGAGGAGGTGGGGGAGGAGGACTGAGGAGATCAGTGGAAGACTCTCTCGTTGTCAGATAGTGGAGGAGCCATCACAACTGGTCGGGCAACCACTGTCCTTTCGTTTGGTGGTCAAGCAGGCATCCTGTCTCACTCCAAAAGAGCTGGCGAACAACGTAACGGTCCGCTATAGGTGGCAGTTGGATGATGAGGATACCATGTGGGTATTGCCGCGGGCATAGGGCGATTTCTGTGAAATTCAGTATTCGGATGAAGGGTTCGGCTGAGGACGTCTTCGTCTTTGATTATGAAAGAGATATCCATCTCACACCTTGTTTAACGCGAGGGATGTTATCTATCCTTCAGGAGGAAGCAATTGCTCTTGAGGTGAGGATGTTGCTGTGGACATGGAGTAGATAGCTCAGGTGTATGGAGAATCGGCAGCAGCAGTTGAGGCTGGGAGGTTGAGGGAGGAGGAGAGGCGAGAGAGGAATGAGAGAGCAGTCAGATGGGCCACAGAGCAAGGTCCAGCGACAACTCGATCCATCGATTATGCGCAGCAGTTGCCTGGCGAGCCGATGCGGCAGGAGAGTGGATGGGTTATGCAGAAGTCTCCATCGGCTGCAGAGGACATGCCTACAACTTCAGAAGTTGATGCTGCGTCATCGTCCATGAAGCCAGCTGAGTTCAAGACGTCGATGATGTCTCGGTGTTGCCATGTACAATGAAAACCTCCGAATTGTGTGCATCTCACGTAGTTGTGTTTTAGCCTGTGAATAGGTGTGATACTAGAGTTTGGATTCAGGATGGTGCATGTGACCAACGGCCACTGACCATGATAAAAGGAGGACCTAATCCGAGATTCACAGGGTTGCGTAGTGACTACGCCGTGGTCACCGCGGTTAGCGTGTGCCTAGAAACAACGAGTGCACAAGATGAGTACCTGTGCCCGACGTATCTGACGGTTTCAGATTCCGTAACGGTCCCAAAGGAGTGTACTGGGGCCTATTTCACAAGCCCTCATAAGGTGCAAAGATTGTAAGGTACCTTACGGTTTTAAGTGTTCATTCAAGCTTTCCGCGTCCATAGTAGTAGTTGTACCGCACAACCACCGTACAAGCCATTTGCCCTGACCCGTACAACTTGTCAGGGCAAATGGCTTACAGTAGGACTTTTGAGAGAGCTCTATCGAAGCACTGTGTCGAATTGTTAATGCGCGTCCGTATGGGTTGAGGTGCTCCTTATTGGGATCCACGAGATGCACCTTAAATTTAGGAGCATAAAGAGCATGAGGTGGAACTGTAGTGAAAGCGCCTCGCGTAAGGTGTAAGGCTCCTTGCTCCTAAATTCAAGGTGCCCCTTAAGGAGCGTTTCTTGTGAAATAGGCCCCTGAGTCTTGCTGTCCTCAAATTGAGTGAGTTCGATTCAGCCTCGGTTATAATCCCTGGGTTGGTACGTCTTGTACTGGTTCTCTGGTCAACTGTGTATCTGCTACGACTAGGGCAAGTGGGTAGATACAATAGTTACTACAGCATCTCAATCTCAAATTAAGCAAATGAAGGAACAAATTAGATAAATGAAATTTCATCTTCGACGAGTGAAAGGAGTTTTTCACGGAATAAATGATCGAATCCGAAATGAAAGTTCGATTTCGTAGAACGGTCGAAAATAAGAGTCCAAGCTCGTAAATGAAATCTATGAATTTGGAAACGCAAGTTCAAATTCGTCTAACACACGACCGATTTCGGCCAATTAAAGCTCCGGGATGCCGCATCCCTACGGGTCGTAGCCGGTTCTCAAGCTCACCTTAGTCCAAGACACAGCGCGGACTTGGATACTCACGCTCATATCATCTGAGTCGTCGTCATCCTCGTACGACTGTTCCAGTTGGTTGAACCTAACCTGCTTCACGAGCTCGTCTTCAGGGAACATCGGATTCCCCGGGAACCCGTCAAACGGTGTAACTGGCATTGAAGGGAAGATGCCCGCTCCACACGGCACTGCGCGCTTTTGATGAGCACGAATGGAGTTCCCCGTCGCTCCGCTCAATCGCGAGTAAACCCACGTTATGAGCCCAAGTTGTCGATGATATCATTCACGGTGAAGTCGACAAGATACTGAAAGGCTCGAAACTCTACCTCAGTAACAAGCACCAAGGGATGAGCCGTGAAGACCTGGAAGCACGTGACAGGGCTACCTTTCTATTGCTGCTAGCACTAACCTGTAGCCAAAAGTTGGGTATTCTCTCTAATACTCGAGCCCGGGCTCCGTATTACGGCTGCTTTTGAGAATCATATTCTCGTTGTACCTTGATCGAGTGGCCGAAACGATACTATGAACACTCGGGTTACTCGAATGGGCTCGCGACAACATTCCTTATCTACAGCATCCAAGGCAGTCTGCGAATCTTCTAGCTCTTCCATCAAAGAGGGCCGACAAGATCGTTTTTCGTCCTGGGTCGAGCTTGTTGGATCATTGAATGCCGAGGTTCGTTTCATGCGACGGTTTATGCACACAAGCTTGGAAGGGAAGCGTTGAGAGAATCTAGTGTGAACTTCTAAGGGCATCTGATGACCCTGCCAAGTCGGCCAACCCTGGTGGCAGCCTAGAAATCTCCTGTATGAGCTTCCATTCTGTCGCGCTCTGAGTGGAGATCAACCAACAGAGAATTTGGTATACGCTTTTCCAGGCACACAGATAACTTTTGCCCTCATCTCTCGATTTAGTGGAGTAGATAAGGACTAGAGTTGGGAGCTATGAAAGGACGAGACACAAGGTGGAAGACGAAAGTCGTTGAACTCCTAAGAAGTTGATGACGCTGATGTGGTGTTGATAGTATCAACACCACATTGGCGTACACTAGCATACACTCGCCTCCGATGCATACGACAACTTCTCGTCGACAAGTAACTACTACTCCGATTACAATCATGCACATTGTAACAAATCTAAGAGAAAAACAAATCAAAGCCATAGAAAGAAACTCAAAGTAGCGAGATCGCCGAGCTGCCGTATAGGCTGTTATACAAGGCAACCAGACAACCGCACTGTTATACAGATGAAGGCTGTTATACGAGACGTTGAAGCTTCCCCTGTCATTTATCACTGTTATATACGCAACACAATCGTGATGCAAAGTAAAATAATTGGTTAAAGTTTGAATGCGGGAGGTAAGGCTGACTCAACATCCCCAATCCGGCAACGTTGATGCTAAACCTCCCACTAAAAGGATCCAAATAGTCAAAAGTTGACAGTAACTTGGCCTTGTTGGAATTACATATTCATTGAGATCGTCAAACATAGAGAATCCCTTTCTGCCTACTGGTTCCTGAAGACCGTCCTCAGTGCCTTCCCATAGGTCTCTAGCATTCTGTAAACTACTAACGTCTGGTCGTTCGGATCTTGCGCATCGTGGAATTCGATATTCTCCAGATCATTAAGCTCGTATCTTGAGTTGGCGTCGAACCTGCAGTTACTCAGAGCATAAGCCAGAGAAGTGGAGCTATAATCAGGCTTCACCCAAGAGGCACCATTCTCCTCAACCATCTCGTACGGAACATCTTCGTAATATAGACGGCAACCACCGAGTGTGATATCTATGGTAAAGTTTCCGGGGTTTTGAAGGAATACCAAAACGCTTGAGCCTTCTCTACTGTCGTCTTTATATAGGCCCGATGGATTAGGCTTAGTCGGGACTGTAGGAGTTGGGGTAGTAGGAAGGGGAGTTGTAGGTGTTGTCGGCGGCGGCCGAGTGGGAATACCACGGAGCTGGAACATCCAATCTGTTGTCCTGGAGGTGGAAATCTCGCTCATGGGAACGCCTTGCTCCGAGGAAACGAACAGATATGTAAATGCGCTGCCGTTGATAATAGAGTCGCGACAGTTGTCCACCTGTGTCGTGAAATCTGTTCCGCTGAAGTCGGGTACCACGAAGAGCTCATCGTCGAGATCGTGTCCCTCATGATTGCGAAGAGGGCCAATGTAATAGGGAACGTTCCGAACAGAAGCAGTGCAGCTACCGAGCTTGATAGTCAAACTCATCAGAAGCAGGTTCTCGTAGAACTCGATAGCGCTAACAGAGTCTGAACGTTCGCTACTCTCGTAGGTCCCCACGGGGTGGGCCTCATGTGCTGGAGTAGCAGGAGATCGAGTCGGGTAGGCCGGGGGTTGAGGGGGACCACCAGCAAGACCAAAAACCCAGTCTTCACCACCAACCATAGAAGCCGTCACCTCATTCATCGAGCCGCCTTCCGAAGATGCACGGAGACGTCGGAATTGGACACTTCTCACAACCGCGTCATTACAACTGTCAAGCTTCGTCGCGAAGTTCGTGGAGCTGTAGTCGGGGACGATCCAGAGTTGGCCATTAGAGCCAGGGATCGGAGTAACGTGATAGGGAACGTTATAGGCAGTCGCGACGCAGATATCCAGCCGGATAGAAATGGAAAGAGTTTGCTGCTGTTGATGGAATATCAGAGATCCGCCCGACTCATCACTCATGGAAGTATAAAAGCTTCCCACGGGGTGGCTTATTGGTGGCGCATACGTAGTGGTAGTTCGGACCGGCGGAGACCTCGTAGTTAGGCCTGGCATGGGACGAGTGGGACCAATGGCTAACCAGCAGTTCCACGAAGACCCCCTCACACCGCCACTGATAGTGATGTCGCTCATGAGAACACCCTTGTTGGATTCGACGTGTAGACTGTCGAAGAAGTCGGCATTAATAGAAGATCTCGGCAAGCAGCGAGGCGTACTTTAAAATCAGTAGAGCTATAGTCAGGCTTGACCCAATACTCGTA